AATGACTAACCATTAGTATCTATATCTGCGTGATCATTGTCTTCACCTATAGGGTTTGATAAAAAAAAAAAAGTCCTGAATTTATCAAATTTAAAGTGACACTGCTGGTAAGATACACCATTTTTTTATGTAGCACTAAAATAAGAAAATGCTGGGATGCCTTGTTGGCTCAGCCGGTTAAGCGGCTGCCTTCGGCCCAGGTCATGATCACAGGGTCCTGGGATCGAGTCCCACATCGGGCTCCTTGCTCAGCAGGGAGCCTGCTTCTCCCTCTCTCTCCCTCTGCTTGTGCTCTCTCTGTCAAATAAATCAAAATCTTAAAAAAAATAAAATAAAATAAGAAAATGCTGCCAATTACCCAGTGAAATTGATTGTAAGATTCATCCTATAGAGCTTATATGTATGTGCTTTAATACATGTCTTAGAATCAGTTAAATGAAATATGAAATGTAGTTATCAGGTTTGAGGAAAAGCTCTTGATTACTGCCTGCTTTTCTTACACTATTAGTAGAAAAACAAAGAAACAAACAAGAATGTTGGAAACTTCAAAGACATTTCGTGTCCAGCATCTAACACAAAGGGCCAGGGAAGAGAGGTACTTGGTGTGGAGCCAGATGGTGGCAGTGGAATAGCAAAGAGGCAGATCAGTAACTCTCAGAAACATGACAGAATACCTAAGGGATCATTCATTCATAAATATTAACTGAGCAATTAGTATGTCCAGGCATCACACTGGGGACGAAGGATATTATTGTGAATAAAATCAGATAGAATCCTTGCACTTAGGCAACATACTGTCTTGTGGTTCAGACAGTTGATAAAACAATCACAGATATGGATGTATGTTTACAAACTGAGACAGGTGATACAAAGGAAAGGAACAGGATCTAGGAGCACATATAAAAAAAAGACCTGGACTAAACTGGAGGGCATAGGGGCGCCTGGGTGGCTCAGTCGGTTAAGCATCCGTCTTTGGCTCAGGTCATGATCTCAGGGTCCTGGGATCAAGCCCCGCATCAGGCTCCCTGCCCAGGGGGAGTCTGCTTCTCCCTCTCCTTCTGCCCCTCCCGCCTGCTTGTCCTCTTTTCCTCAAATAAATAAAATCTTAAAAAAAAAAAAAAAACCCAACATAAAATAAACTGGAGGGCACAGAGAACACATTCCTTAGGAATTAGTCTTTGAATAGGTACTTGGAAGTAATGGTAGTGGCGGCGTGGGTGTGTTCCCAATCAGAGGGAACAGCAAATGAGAAAGCTTCCAGGAACTGAAAAGAATACCATTCTGGAAGCCTAAAGATGGAAAGTCAGAGAAATACAGGGAAGAAGTCACATTATACAGAGCCTTGCAGGCAAATGAGTATTAGTATGATAGGCTGGGGGGGTAGGCGGGGAGGAGAAAGGTGTGGTGCATAAGAGCAGGAAAAGCTATCACGAGGTCTGATAAACTGTGATGGTGGTGGAGATCAAGGAGGCTGATGGGTTCAAGAGATATGTAGAGAGTAAAAAAGGCAACAGCACATGCTAATAAACTGGGTATAGGTATTATGGGAGAGAAGTAGTTAGGATGCTTTCAAGTTTTCTGACTTTATGCAACTGGAAGGTGTCGTTCACCAAGACTGGGAACAGAGGAAGAAGCTCTGTTTGGGAAGAGATGGGCAGATGGGGGTGTGGTGTGACTGTCATGAATCTTGCCTCAGATATAGTGAGCTTGAGATGCCTTAAGGAGATCCAAATGTAAATGCTGACCAAGCAATTGGATATGTGGGTCTTAAGCTCAAAGGAGTGTCTCAGCCAGAGAAAGGTCTGAGGACTTCAGACTGATATGGGACTGGCTGGTGGGGTGAAAAGGGCTTTGGAGTTCTCATAGTTCCTTAACTCAGTATCTAGCATATTTGTTCTCATCCTATACGCTGCCTCTAACATTTAGCGCCGGGGGAATCTTTCCTTCTATTTCAACTGGGAAAAACGTGTCAAGATGCCCCAAAGTTTTAACTCTGAATATGTTTTTCAAAAAAACATGGTGTTTTGGTCACTGAACGAATACTCTGTGTGTTTGTGTGTGTGTATTTTTTTTTTTTTTTTGCCATTTGAAAACATTAATGTATGTGTAAGGAAGTGGTGGTGGGGGCTCAGGCAGCTAACCATGATTAACTAAAGATGATTTCTTCTGAGTTCCAACAGTCCCCTTAACATGTGAAGTTTGGGAATATAAATGTTATATAATCCATCTATACGCCTGGGGACTGCTTATACTGTTAGCTCTGAAACAATATCATATTAAAATAAAATTAGAGCAAGTGAAAACACTCACATGCATTTAAACAATATTAAGTTGCTCAATTTAGCAACTTAATAAGGATAATCTATGAGCCTATATTTCCTATTGTATGAATACATCTACTATTGCAGAAATTTTGTGCAGATTAGAAATTTATTAATGAGCCCAACAGTATTTAGAACATAGTAAATGCTATTATTATTCATAAAACATTTAAAAATAAAATTGCATCAATTTTGCATTTGCAGAATAAATGTGCACACAACTCTCTATCTTGAGGAAGTATACAAAAATAAGTGCAAGCATCGCAAGCCTACTCATTCTTCTGTCTTCACCTTTCTCTGTTTTAGCTGTTTCTTTGGACTTGACCAGATATTGTCAAGGAACATTAACAACTCTGTGCTGCACTCTAGCGGTAAATACAGAGTAGAGTCCGTTAAACGACTGCTTTTTGATACCTCTCCAAACAATGAAATTCTAAAAACCAAGAGAAAGTATTTAAGGGTAATTTTCAGTCTGCTACCACTGATTACAGAGGAAGAGTCACTCAGCACCTTGCTATCAATTTATTATTTTAACTACAAGTATTTTTCATGGGAATAAAAAGCACAAACTGATGCTTATTGTAACAGCAAATTTTTATCACTTGTTAGATACCATGATCTGTTATTGCATTATATGAAGTGTGGTTTAAGAAATATCGTGGCTAGCTTGGCCGCCATCATGAACAACACAGTAACTATCCGGACCAGGAAGTTCATGACTAACCGACTACTTCAGCGGAAACAGATGGTCATTGATGTTCTTCACCCTGGAAAGGCAACAGTACCTAAGACAGAAATTCGGGAAAAACTAGCCAAAATGTACAAGACCACACCAGATGTCATATCTGTGTTTGGATTCAGAAGCCATTTTGGTGGTGGCAAGACAACTGGCTTTGGCATGATTTATGATTCCTTGGATTATGCAAAGAAAAATGAACCCAAACACAGACTTGCAAGACATGGCCTGTATGAGAAGAAAAAGACATCAAGAAAACAGTGAAAGGAACACAAGAACAGAATGAAGAAAGTCAGGGGGACTGCAAAAGCCAATGTTGGTGCTGGCAAAAAGTGAGCTGGAGATTGCACAACAGAAGGACAGGGATGCTGCAGTGGCTTTATCTGTGGTGGTTGTGCAGATTTTTCATGAGAGGATCAATAAACTAAGAATGTTAGTGTGAAAAAAAAATATCGTGGCTATAGCGAACATATATACACACACACTCACACACACACATCCCTCAACTAAAGTAGTCCTAAATATCTCAATTCTTACAAGACAAATTTCCTTTTTTGTTTGAATTTGTTTAAATTTAGTATTTAAGTATACTTTTATTTGGGTAATAAATTCAATAGCTAAAAATTTATATTATTGTATAATACTTACAACATGGTAAGTGTATCCTATTATCTCAACAAACTTGAAACAACTGAAATCATTTCTATTATTTTTGCAAATTATTGGTGAAGCTAATAAACTGGAGGGCAGTTGACTAGATAAACTGCTTGCTAAACAAGTGTTTGGGATGAGGGTTGGGGGTAAGGGCAAGACTATTTACTAAACCAAAACAAATAAGAGAAAAACAACAATATGAACAAACAATGATAAAATGATCCTTTCTCATGCTATATAGCTTGACATTAATACAATATTTTATTAAATTCTTTATATCCTATATCTCTCCAAAAAGGATTGGACGCAATTTCAACAACAGACATATAGAATCACATTAGTAAAACAGAAATGGCAAATGGAATTCAAGAGAAATGAAAATGCAAATATAGTTAACTAGTTTCTTAACTAAGTCGTTGATATTGTGCTTCAAATTTGGATCTGAGCTTCCTAGCAACCAGAGCAAAAAAGAAATCATGATGTACGTATTTCTTACAGCAACAGGAGAGTAAGGCTTTCTAATCTGCCCCCCGCCCCCCGCCAAATATGTTCTGGTCTTAATTCTAAATCTAATTTCTCATGTGGGCAACTAATGAGTGATATAATTAACAAACTCAACAAGAATTATTGCAAATTCAGAAATGATCAGATTTTATATGCTGAGTTTGCTTGTTGGTTTTGCACTTAGAGGCTAAATGAATGTAGTTCAAGTTTAAATGATCCGACTTAATCCAAACTCTCAGAGCAGTAGAGAGAGAACATGTCTTCAAGTACAATTTCTCTCACCAGATTTTGGATAAGAGTTAAATAGCACATAATTAATATATATATATAACCTTGGGGCACCTGGGTGGCTCAGTCAGTTGAGCGTCTGATGCTTGGTTTCAGCTCAGGTCATGATCCCAGGGTCCTGAAATGGAGCCCTGTACTGGGCTCTGTGCTCAGTGCAGTGTCTGCTTGTCCCTCCCCCTCTGCCCCCTCCCTGCTCTTTCCTGAATTTAAAAAACAAAAACAAAAAAAATTTCCTTCAAAAAATATATATACATATGACCTTTAGTTAAGAGTCTGAAATCTGTTATTTTTCTACTTATTTCCTATTCATTTATTAGGTTAAAGCTCCTTGAAGGTAAAGGCCTATCTTCCAGTTCTTTGTAGGATCTTTCACTGAGAAATGGTCACATTGGCATTCAGTTAATACTAAAAATTTAGTGATGTAGTAGGAAAACAAACCTCACCACTAGTGGTTTGGGTTTTTTTGTGAAGTGTTATTTTATTTTTTTCATTTTTACCTTGTAACAGTCTCCTCCAGGAATGATTTCCTGAATATATACCAAGGGACCTTCATTCCGGTTAATTCCTCCTAGGATCTTCAGACCAAGGCCTGTTTCCTTGGTAACTGTAATCACCTGAAAGGCAGGATCCCTAAGATAAAGTACATTAGCATTCACAGGTTAGCCTAGAGATCTGTGCCTACTTTCTCTTTAAACTACTCGCTAAATCAAATTCTTAGATCTAGATAACCCGAAATACTCAGTATATACTAGCAACGACATTTAGAAAAGTATGGTGATAGAAAAGCATTCAAATGGAGTCTGTTACCTCTATTATTTATTTATTTTTTTATAAAAACAATCAAACCATAGAAGAAATCACAGCAATAATGCTTATTTCTTTGGAGCAGAACAAAGAAAAATACCTTCCTACATAGGATTTAAATAAATGTAAAGAAGTATTAAAGGTAACTGAAGAGATGTGTCTTTAGCTGACTTTTAGACTACACTGAGGGATTCCAAAATTAAAGATTTTAGTGAGTTAGGTAAGTGACCTTTTTAAAAGACATGTCTGCGTCCATTTACAGCAAAATAAATATGACCTCCACTTGAGTCTCAAAAAGAAAAATTTATCTTTTTAATTTAGGAAGAGTATTTTCTGATAGAAAGCATGTGCTCCATCCATAATTTCCATCAGATGTAAGAGCAATGCCATTAGAAAAGATGGAACTGTGAAAAGAATTCTGTAAAAGGTATACCGCCAAGTTGTGTTTCTGAATACTCCAGTTAGGAGACTTTTACTGGTCTGAGAGAGCTTGAACACAACTTGAAATGAGGCTTAGGCTGCTTTCCTGTGATGTACTGGGTACTGTGCTAAGCAACATACATATATTATGCCATTCAACTTAGTATTTATACAACTCCTAAGATTATTACCCTCATTTTTCTAAAAGCACCAAAATGTGGGAAGGTTAACTTTGTGGTCTAAGGTTATGAAGCTGGGGAACAGCAATGGAAACCCAGTTTGTCTTACTCCAGAGGCAAAATGTGGTGTAAGATCTGCTTGGTTGCTGTATTAAGGCCACTTTTGAATTATAGGACTTTCAGCTATCTTCAAACATATCAAAAAACTGAAACTGCTATTAAAAAAGAGTTGCCTTGGGGCGCCTGGGTGGCTCAGTCGGTTAAGCGGCTACCTTCAGCTCAGGCCATGATCCCATGGTCCTGGGATCGAGCCTCGCATCAGGCTCCCTGCTCAGTGAGAGCCTGCTTCTCCCTCTCCCTCTGCCTGCTGCTCTGCCTACTTGTGCTCTCTCTGTCTCTCTGTCAAAAAAAAAAATCTTAAAAAAAAATCGTTGCCTCATCTCTTACATACGATTATAGCTTTCAGAAAAAACTTTCTTAGTTCTGCTATGGAAATTCTAACTCTATCTTTAAGAAAACGTGTATTCAAAAGTTAAATCATTAAAAAATAGAATGAAAGAAATTAAAATATAAAAAAAACAAACCTCCCTGCTTCTGAATATTTTGCTTTCTATACAGGACAGCCTCCAAGGCTGCATTGTACTGAATTAGGCTCTAGTGTTGGATGGCCTATCTGGTTACTAGGGCAACAGTCAATTAGCTAGGAAAAGAGGCAGTGGGGCCTGGGTCCACAATGTTTCACTGTTACAGATTTCAGAAGCTCAGCCCACTCTTGATGGAATATTAAGCTGTAAGGGCATAAAGGAGTGAAGCCTAGAAATGAGAGAGTGGAAGGGGAGAGGAAATGAAGGTACCTCATTAGGTACCTCCCATAACCTCTTAAACCCTGTAAATGCGAGTTTCCTTCAATGGGGACAGGATATAATCTCCACCATGTATTATTGTTTCAGTAAAGGATCCCTCCTTTTCTAATACCAACAGAATATCTGTATTTCACACAGCATTTACTTGCTAGGACCTTATTTTAAAACCCCCTTATGTTAAGAATTTATATTATTTACTTTTCTTAGCTATTAACAATAGTTCTGCCGCTCAACTTTAATCACAGTTAGAGAACTGCAAGTTAAAACTAGGCAGAGATAGTGCTATTCACCTATCAGATCAACATAAATTTAAAACTGACAATATACTCCGAGGACAAAGCTACAGGAAAAGAGGTACTCTTGTACACTGTTGATGAGAACGCAAAATGGCGTAACTCCCCAAGAGAGAATTTGGTAATCTCTAAATTTGCCCTCTGACTCAGAAATCCCCTTTCTAGGAATTCATCCCAAAGATACTCTGGCAAAAAATACAAAATGACTTGTATACTAGGTTATTCATTTTGGTATAAGTTGTAATCTCCAAAACTTGCAAATAATGGATGTCCATCAATAAGGTACTGGCTGAGGGCGCCTGGGTGGCTCAGTCAGTTAAGCGTCTGCCTTCGGCTCAGGTCATGATCCCAAGATTCTGGGATCGAGCCCTGCATCAGGCTCCCTGCTCAGTGGGGAGCCTGCTTCTCCCTCTCCCTCTGCCACTCCCCCTGCTTGTGCTCTCTCACTCTCTCTGTCAAATAAATAAATAAAATCTTAAAAAAAATTAAAAAAAAATAAGGTAGTGGCTGAATAAACTATGGTACATTCACAGGATAGAATCTTACACAGTTGTAACAAGGTACAAGAAAGACATTTACAGACTGATGTGATCACCAGGATATAATTTAAGTTAAAAAAAAAAAGGCAAGATCAAAAACTATATATAATATGCTACCTTTTTGTTAATAATATGCTGGCAAGTGGAACCTAGGAGGCGGGGCCAGGGTATTTGAGGCCATCTTGCCTCAGTCATATGATTCTTTCCCACGGGCTTGATTTTGCCTTAGATAGTTGGACAAAATTCTGTGCTGTCCCAGAATGTCAAACTGTTCAGCACCAGGGCATAGAGCTCTGTGCATGGAGTTCTTTGCATACCACTCAGATGGGCCTGGCTTGTGCCCCTTGGAGACTGGAGTTTCCCAGTGCTCTCAGGAGGTGTCAGAGAAAGACATCCTGAATTTAACTGGCCTGATACTCTTCTCCAGGGAAGACCTGTGAGTCTGAGCTGAAGGGCTGGTGTGCATTTGTTTACTGTTAATATGCACACATATAACATGTATATATATTTATATGTATTTGCTTATACAAAAGAAGCATTGAAAAGGAGGGGCTCCTGGGTGGCTCAGTTGTTAAGCGTCTGCCTTCGGCTCAGATAATGATCCCAGGGTCCTGGGATTGAGCCCCACATCTGGCTCCTGGTCGGATGCTTCTCCCTCTCCCTCTGCCTCTGCCTCTCCCCCTGCTCATGCTCTCTCTCTCTTTCTCTGTATCTCTGTGTCTCAAATGAATACATAAAATCTTAAAAAAAAAAAGGAACCAAAAATAAAAATGGTTATCTATAGGAAGAATGAGGTGACAGAGTAAATGAAGGACAAGAACGACTTCTCTGAATATGCCTTGTTATATGTGTTACATGTTTGCATGTCTGCATGCGCTTTGGAATGTGATTTTACTGTTCCTTCCATTAAAATGTAAAGTCTATATCTCTACCCTTTGAATTTGGACTTGGCTATCTGAATTGCTTCAGACCAATGGCACACCAGCAAATGTGAGGGAAAAATATTTGAAAAACACTTGGGTGTGTTGGGAACCATTTTGCCATCATGTGAAAGAGCCTGAGCTAGCCTCCTGGAGAATGAGATCAGGTTCAGAGACAGCCATCCAGCCCTTCCAGATGGGGTGCCAGAACATGTGAATGGGGCCATCCTACACTTCTGGTACATACCAGAAGAACTGCTCGGCCAACCCACCAAATCATGAGAAAGAATAAATGCTTGTTGTCTGGAGGCAGTTTAGGTGGTTTGTTACTCAGCAAAAATTAATCTTACATTATTTTTATACTGGGATCATAAAATATTTTAGATATTTGAAAAAATCAGATCAAATTTTTAAAAAAGCAATTTCTATAAAGAATTATAAAAAAGAATGCAGAATTTATCCCATACACTGATTTACATTGGAAGGTAATTATTGCTCAGCTTCCTTATTATGCTACCTTAGACAACAGTTAACTGTATAAAATTTTCAATCAAAAGTTCATTAACATTCTACATATTTCAAACTATAATAGCTCAAAATATTTTAAATTTAATTTAAAAATTACTTTTCAAGTAGACTGGATGATACCACAGCAGATGTACTTTTATTCATGATTTTACCACAGGAGCCTTGGATTTAACTGGATAAATGAAGATCTTGAAGAGTCTAGAAATTCTTCTTTTCCTGAGAATGGAGATGTAGAAAATAAATTTTCATGTCTTAAGAGTAGTCAAATTCAACTTCAACTTTGCATAAAAAAATCACATACATGTTTATACATGTTAGATGTATTTTATGTATTTTGAAGTATGGCACTTAATCATTGCTGATAAAATCTGAGAAATATAAAGACAGTTCGATAACATGATTATCTGTATCTATATAAAATCTGCATTTTCTGGCAGAGGTGAAGAACACAGCTAAGCTTCAGGTAACTATTATAGCTTCTACCATTAATACACTTAAAAATCACATAATAATAAAAGACTGACAAATATCTCTTGTAATCACAAGGCTAAAAAGTTTATAGTCAGAATGTCTGTAAAATAATTATACAATACACTGTTGAAAAAAAAAAGAAATTCCTATCATCTTACCAGTTATCTTGAGGGACTTCCTGCAGATCTTATATTACTTTATTCATATTACTCCACAAGCTTCTTAAATACTTTCTTATGAAAAGAAAAAAAAATATATGATTTTAATGTCTCATTATAGCTCCACTGTGAATATTAAAGAGAATGGTGCAGTTTCACTGAAGTAAAAAAGTTGTATTTGAATAGAGCTTTACCCTCTCTGCATAATAAATATGAATAAAGTATAGAAACTTAAAAGACATTAAGAACATTTAGCATAATCCTCTTATTAAAGAAATGAATAGCTAGATTCAGAAATTGTGTGCTTTTCCCCACACAAATGAGAAACAGGAGAAACAGTCAGTGGTTGTTTTTCTAGCTAGCCCTCAGGCTTCAGAGCCTAGAGCATGGACCGTGACATCAGAGATACCTGGATTCCAATTTGAGCTTCTAGGCTTCTCCAAGACTTATTTCTTCATAGGTACAGTAACTATCTTGACTGTGGTGATGGTTTTACAAATGCATATACATGTCAAAACTTAGAATATTTTCTCACTATAAATATGTACTGTTGGTTATAAATCAATTATAATCTTGGAGCGCCTGGGTGGCTCAGTTGGTTGAGTGTCCAACTTTTGATTTTGGCTCAGGTCATGATTTCAGGATTGTGAGATCGAGCCCTGTGTGGGGCTCCATGCCCAGCGGGAAGCCTGCTTCTCCCTCTCCCACTCCCCCTGCTTGTGTTCCCTCTCTTGCTGTGTCTCTCTCTGTCAAATAAATAAATAAAATCTTTAAAAAAAAAAAATAAAGTTGCCAGAATGGAAAGGGGCTGAGGGTATGGACAAAATGGGTGAAGGGGAGTTGGAGGTATAGGCTTCCAGTTATGGAATGAGTAAGTCATAGAGAACCCACTTTATAAGAGTATAAACTCATAATGTTCATGAATAAATGGGAGAAGAGCCATCAGATGAAATGTTTGACAAATTTCTGGAAGACAAAAAATAGATGTTGAGATGATAATCATAAAGGAGGACTGAAGAAGCTGAAAGCTAGGGGCAAGGCTTCCTAAACATTTTTTTTCTTTTTTTTTTTTAGAAAGAGAATGTGCACGCAAGCTGGGGAGGCGGGGAAGAGGGAGAAGGAGAGAGACAATCTTAAGCAGGCTCCATGCCAGCACGGAGCCTGATGAGGGGCTCGATCTCACAACACTGAGAGCATGACCTGAGCCAAAATCAAGTCAGATGTTTTAACTGACTGAGACATGCAGGTGCCCTGAATTCTTAAACATTTGTGAGTTGGAGCATAGAGAGAAAACGGGAATATTTGTATGGTGTACTGGGGTGAACAGAGGTGGCATGCTATACCTCTGAGTTGCTGTGGGGAAATCAATAACTCAGCACACCAGTAACTGATTCAAAGCAAAATTCTGGCCTAAGAAACAGCTGGAAGGAGATGCAGGAGGAACCTGTCTTGAGGAATCCCAGAGAGGCTGAGGACTCAGAAACCCAAAGTTTTAGGGTGAGCAAAACTGAGGCAGAGAACTAAAATCAAGGCAATTATCCCAGGACTTCTCTAACCACTGAATGAGGAAGAAATCACAGATTCTGCTGTAAATAATTTGAATGGACCTTCTGGGAACCCGACATAGTGTTGTTCCACTGGCCTGAATGTTAAAATCCTGCTTCAACTTTCACAGTCCCTGTGGTAGCAAGCAACAGGAACAGGGGAAGCATGCAGATGAAAAGTGGCAGAGAAATGAAGCCAAAGTGAGTAAGATCCCCATCTAGTGGTGATTTGTCCTAACTGGACACAGAGCCCCGGGTAATGAAACATAACCCAGGTCTAACAGATATATCGTGGCTAAACTGTACAACAGATTTCTTATAATGTCATACTTAACAAGGCATTTTAAAATATTTCTATTTTAAAGTACTACAATGAAATTTAAGTGTTTAAATTACTTCATTCACTTAACATGACTGACAGTGTCCTGAGTGCTGGAGGTGAGGGGGAAATTGGAGTGCGGAGACGAACCATGAGAGACGATGGACTCTGAGAAACAAACTGAGGGTTCTAGAGGGGAGGGGGTGGGGGGATGGGTTAGCCTGGTGATGGGTATTGAGGAGGGCACGTTCTGCATGGAGCACTGGGTGTTATGCACAAACAATGAATCATGGAACACTACATCAAAAACTAATGATGTAATGTATGGTGATTAACATAACATAAAAAAAAAGCAGAGTCTGTCCCCAAAGACAGTCAAGTAAACAGACATCAGGAAGGTGCTAAGTGCTCTGACAGTGGTGTGCACAGGGGGGCTGGGGGAGCACGGAGGAAGGCCACTCAACCCACAATGGAATTATTATTAAGCACCAATGTGGCCAGACACCATGTTAGAGGATTTTACCCTCCCTCAAAGGAGCCCCACAAGGCAGGTATTATTACATATTTATATTTACATAAATGAAAGGTATTTACATAAATGAAAATCACATCATGGAAAAGCTCTATGACTTGTCCATGACCACACAGCTAAACAGTTTTAAAGTGGAATGTGAATCCAGTTTTCTTGAGCTCCAAACCCAACCTTTTTCCACTATGGCATGCTGGGAAACTGATTTATGGGGAAAAACTTCATTCTCTGAAAATACAGGATGAGAGTATTAACAGTACTAATAGGCTGTCTATATGGAGAGGATACTGTTGATTAAACTAACAGAAACTGGTTTAATTTTATCCATCCAAACAGCAGGCTTTTTTTTTTTTTTAATAAGCCAGGTATTCACTGTCATATCCTTAAACCTTAAATATCATAAAATGCTTTTCCCTTCCCTCTCTTTTATTTATTCCCTATTCCTTCCTTTACAGAAGCTAGCAAGCCCCTCAACCAAAAGGGGTTCTGTAATGTTACACACATACTAAACTTCACATTAATGAATGACACAGAAGGGAAACATTCTATTCTTTTACAAAAAATCTGCCCATTCAAGGAAAACATATTGTTTTTCTAGTTTGGTGACTCATAAGGAGGAAAATGTGAGGTCAGCCAAAACAGAGAAAGTGGAACACTGAGGGGGAAAAAAGTTCTTGTTTTATACAATAAATCTATTCCAGAAAACTTAAATTAGAGCTTTACTTTGATTAAAAGTTTTAATTCTATATCATTAGAAATCTCATTAGATAAAAAATCTGCCTGTGATGCATATGTTTGAAAAACAGACTTAATAATTTATATTCCCAAAGAGATGGCATTCAATACTTTCTAAAACTAGTTCTTTTTACTAGACCAAAATTAAGAAAATAAAAAGGAAAGGGATAAAAACATCTGGCAGAAAAGATGATAAATATTAACTTGATGAAATGACAATATTGAATGAATATTCATAATATTGATAATGAATTAGTATGTCTTTTTAGTTTTTTAAAAATAGCTAATACATTCCCATGAGGTACATGTAATGGATGTATATATGCATCCTATCTATCTCCACACCATTTCCACATACTTAAGTACCCACTGTTTTTGTTTCTTGTGAATACTTTTAGTTCCTTTATGCATAAACAAATATGAATAAATATTGACTCCTTTGCTTTTGTTTCGACTAGGAAAGTAGGTTACAACCAGCACAAAGCATCTAGCTGTTCACGCTGTGCACTGTACAATCCCTGAGGGTATGAGTCACATACATGATATAAACAGGTCCTCTGGTGTACACAGTAGTCCTGAATACTATAAGCATGGCTGTGAAATCTGCTGTTTTTTTTTTTAAATTAATATAGAACCTGGAACTATTTCCATATTTTTACATAGCATCCTAAATCTTTTTTTTTTTTTTTTTAAGGAGGGAGAGGGAGAACTCCCCCTGCTTGTGTTCCCTCTCTTGCTGTGTCTCTCTCTGTCAAATAGATAAATAAAAAAAATCTTTACAAAAACAAAAATAAATAAAAAATAAATAAATAAAGAGGGAGAGGGAGAATCTTAAGCAGGCTCCATGCCCACTGTGAAGCCCGATGCAGGGCTTGATCTCACAACCTTGAGATCATGAACTGAGCTGAAATCAAGAGTTGGATGCTTAAATGACTGAGCCACCCAGGCACCCCCCTATTTCTTTTTTATTTTTCATAGCTGCATGGCATTCCATTTTATGGATGGACCATATTTATTTATTCCTTTATTGATAGATACTTAAATTGTTTCACACTTTTTGCTATTATAAACATGCTGTGATGAAACCCTATAGATCACATCACATGTGCACAAATTTATCTGTATGACAAATCTACAAAAATAGGTTATCATTTATACACACTTGATACTTTGATAGAAACTGCCAAACTGCCCTCAATTATCAACTGTCCTAATTTACCATCCCTCCAGTAATAGTGACTGGTACTCCAAATTCTCACCAATAGGGTGTATTACATAACTATTGGATTTTTGACAATCTTATTGATAAGAGCAGTATCTTAAGATCTTAAGCCTGATGAGGCTGAACATTTGTTTTTATATTTTAAGAACGCTTTAGTATCTCCTTTTATGTGAACTTTATTTTTACATCTTTTGCCAATTTTTCTCTACATGGTTAGCTTTTTTCTGTCCAGTTTCTAGGAGTTCTTACTCCCAGGGAGACTATCTCCTCTTCTTGCACTAAGAATTGCAAATATACTTTCCTCCTTTATTCTTAGTTATGGATTTTGTTGTTATTGTTGTTAGACAAAGGCCTGTGGCTAAATTTATCAATTTTTCATAAGTCCTTAAGTCAAATGTAAGTCCTTATACACTCCAAAGTTATAAAGAACTCTCTCATATTTTCTTCTAGTATTTTTATAGTCTCATTTAAAAATCTTTGATCCATTTGGAATCCATCCTAGTATACAGTATAAGGTATAGATCCAACTCTTATTTTCTCCCAAGAACATCACTAAGTTGCCTCAACATTATTAAACAATCCATCTTTTCCCACTGATTTGAGATTAGACCTTTATCATATATCAAATCTCATAAACATTTGGGCCTACTTCTGTGCTTTTTATTCTGGCCCATTGGTTAGTCTATCTTAATAATGGTTTTACAATATATGTTTTACATCTGGTAA